GGGAGGGAGGGACGGACGGACGGAGGGAGTTACAGAGAGAAACATCAATCGGCTGCCTCCTGTACATGACCCGAACAGGGATGGAACTCAAAACCTAGGTATGTGTCCTGCAACCTTTTGGTGTACGGGACAAAGTTCAAACCAACTGAAACACCCGACCAGAGCTGGGAAAGTTTTATAGAAGTAAAAACAAACTACTGCCGGGCCTAGTGTGGCTCAGTGGTTGAGCATCGATCTAGGGACTAGGGGATCGCGGTTGGATTCCCGGTCAGGGCACGGGTCCGGGTTGTGGGTTCGATCTCCAGTGCGGGGCATGCAGGAGGCAGCAGATCAATGACTCTCTCATCATTGATTTTTCTGTCTCTCTCTCTTCCTCTCCCGTCCTCTCTCTGAAATCAATAAAGACATATTAAAAAAACAAAACCCACTAAATAAAGTCTAAGCATTTGGACATCAAATGACTCATTCAAAAGTCCCGATTTCTGCTTTTACTTCTTTCCACTGTGGGTATGAAACACTTTCATCCCACTGCTCCCTGATACGGAACTAGTGAATTTAAACAGCAATCCCAAATTTATAGTGTCAAATATATGCTAAACCACTACAGTCTTCATAAAAGTTCAAGTGTATTTCGCCATATTCTGCACAAGCATGAATATCCCCACAGGACTGCCTCTGGTGCACCAGTACAAGAACAGCTTTTCTTTTTTCCAACATATTACACCATCATTATAGTGGTGACCACTTCATTTGTCCCTCTCAGGGGTTCTTTGATATTTCAAGAAATCCTCCCCCCCTTTTTTTACTAATTGCTCTTGTTGATGTCAGATTCTGCATTGCAATTCACTCCATTGCTGACAGTCAAAAAATCCTTATCTTCTTGGATCTTGGTAAACAAGCACCTCTAGCTCTACTTTCTCAGCCCCCCATACTAATCTCCCAAGTCTTAAGACATGTATGAAAGTTATAATGTTTTGTTTGGGAAAGAGGAATAGAGTTTGTCCTTGAAAGCTGGTGGAAAAGCTCACCTGGGTCTTTTTATGCTAAGCTATCCCAACAGCTATAAATCAGAAATTAATTTATAATATGTCAACAGTTTCTGAGACAGTAACTATTCCTTTCCAAAAGGTGCTTCAAAAGTGCTATGTAGTCCCAGTCAGTTTGGCTCAGTGGTTAGAGCATCGACCCTCTGACTGAAAGGTCTCAGGTTCAATTCCAGTGAAGGGCCTGTATCTCGGTTGCAGGCTCAGTCCTCACCCTGGTTGGGGCACGCGTGGGAGGCAACCAAAGGATGTGTCTCTCCTGCATCTCTCTCTCTCTCTCTCTTCCACTCTCTCTGAAAAGCAATGGAAATAATATCCTCAGTTGAAGATTTAAAAAAAAATAAAGTGCTATGTGTGTGGTTAAAGTGTTACAGGCATTTTTATGTGAAAATCCCAAGACAACATTCTGTTCATTTTTTTCCTTTTTAAGCACTAAGGTCATATAAACTTGTAGTGCTTTTCTTAAATTATTAATTAATGAAATACTAACAGTAAATCAGAGTAAAGCATTTCTTGGAACATGAGGGCCTTTTGTTTCATTGAGTGCCTCACTCCACGAAAAATTAAAATCTATAGAAATAAAAACTTGAACATTTCTGACAAAAATTGGTAAGCTCTCCATGGAGAGTGATGATTGGATCAGTATATCGGAACATAGGGGGAGTTCAGTTTATTAACTTAATGAAAATAAATGATTGAAAATAAAATTTTCAAGTGAAAAGATGGATCAGGGTAATAAAAACATTAAAAACCATCTGGCAACTCTTTTCTATAAGAATATCATTTCAGCCTTTACTGTGAATCCACATCCAATTATCTGAGCAATTCATCATTGCAATTCATGCCACTTTGCAATATGTAAGAGAATTAGAACATCCTTGTTACAATGTTTGTGAAGAGTAGTGAACAGTATTTCCCACAGGTTTTAAGGTCCCCTTGTGAGCTAAAAACAAACAAACAACAGTCATACTCTCTTCTCAATCTCCCAGATTCTTCACAATTCATGGTGAGGATAGTATAAATGAAACAATGTGTATGCAACAGTTCTAATACTGTTTCCAAAGAGTGTATTTTCAAAAACACATCACTCTTGTAATCATTCCACAGCTCCCAAGATTAATGCATGTGAAAAATGAAAAACCATTTCTCTCCTGGAAAATTTAATAGTTCATTAAAACCATTAATTATTCTCCCATTGTTCTAATAATCCAATTCTATATCCTCTAATGATAACTGTACTGAGGTGTGTGAATGACCAATTATCTCAAAATTGCTTATAACCTAGATGTACAGAATCATACATTATTATAGTAATTTTTTTCTCTATAAATTGTACAATTTGGTAAAATGGTCCTAGTCTCTCTATTCTCATAAGCACTCATCTTTACCCGAGACATAACTCTAGATGAAAATAATCATCCCCATACTTAAATGTCAAAGGGAACTGGCTTTGTTACAAGGGTAATTCCTTATCTCAATCTGTTTGAAATACAAGTTCCACTTCCTTTTGTTCAAGAGCACTGTTTCTCAAATACTTAGTATACTTTTGTATCTGACATAACCCCACCTTTCCCAGCATGTATTATTCTATTTCTGCTACGGTAGCAAAAATGACCTTGCCTTCCCAACTTCATTGATACATGCTCCTAACTTTTTCTCCTGTCTTATGTGTTGTATATATTCAAGGTGTTATTAACATCCCGATTTTTCTTTATTTTTGGCCTCTACTAAGACTTTTCCCTTACTCAAATTTCTTGGTTCCTGATCCTGGCTCCATTGCATGTCTTATGTGATTCTGTCATGTTCCACCTAAGCACTTCCTGAAGAGTGGAAGCTAAATCCAGTGTCGATCCGAGCCACTAAATTCGCTGCCTCTTCAGATTATACTTGTTTTTCAACATTATGGCAAAAAAAGAATTTTGGGAGGAGCAAACTGATATGCATTTTCATGAGAGATGGTTTGCTCACTGTAAACTGGTCTCAATAATGAAAAGCTTTATTAAAATAAGTGAGTGAAAGCAAAGTGATATATTCTGCTACAGTATGAGATTTCTGCCCAAAATTTTGTTTGACTTAGGCAGTCTGATAACCAAGGTTTGCTGATATCTAAGGAGTAGGAGAATGGACACGGGGAGGGGTACATAAAAGTGTTTTTAATATACTGGAAATATTGGCAGTGACTGGAGTGGGCAAAGGTCAGTTTATGGAACAATCCTACCCAAAATAAAGCCCATCTTGTTGCTGCAAGCTTCCCTGGGGTTACCTGTCCTGACCCCAAATGCTATTCAACTGCCTAATTACATTCTACAGCTCTATATGAGCATGTGCCCAGAGGCCAATTTCAGTAGGCTGCAGAAATTCAGTAGCCCTTATTTGGCTCAAAATATTTTCTGTTCTGCTTTCATCTGTAGATAAAGAAGAATAAGTGGACTGGATTTGGGTGCATAATTAATACTGTCTAGTTGAAATTATCTATTTTATAGAAATACTGTTTAAGCTTAAAAATCCTAGCTATCACACTTTTTAATGGTTGTCAAGCATTCTTTGGCCATAAATATAAATACAAACATTTTGAAATGTGGCTATTGCTACCATAGTTACAGAACAATTTTCCTATTTAGCATTCAGGTAGTTTAGAAAAAATATAATTATGTTTGCTAGAAATGTACTAGAGGTTTTACTCTCATACATAATCAGCCCTGCAACCTCCTGCAAGTATATCAGATGACATACCCTTACTCCCACAGCAAGGTTGGAACAAGTTGTTCAAATACAGTTTCACAGCATATTGTGAACAAAACTAATTCATCTATAAGTATACAACCACCTGTTCAGACTCAAAATCACCCTCTTCTTCAGGATAAAGTAGCTTAGAGAGAGCTTGCAGAGTTGAAACTGATGAAATAGTTTCAGTTTCCATATTTTCTGATTCCATATTTTCAGTTTCCATTTTTTCAGTTTCTACATATTCAGGTTCCATATTATCCATATTTCTGAGGAAGAAAATCAGAAAGAGTATTTTAGTTTTCTATTTTATTTAAGATGTAAAGTATTTATTGTCATATCTCCCTTCTTTCCCTGGGTCACTCTATTCTTTCTTATTCTTCCTTGAAAATCCTTGTAAACTCCTTCAGGTATATATATATATGTATTTTGCTGAATCACAGACCAGGGGGTCGCAAGTCAAGTAAAGTATTCAGCTTACTTAACTGAATTGCCATGCTCACTTTAACAAGCATTTATTGAGCACCTACTATAGTGATTCTCTGGTTTTAGTGTGCCTAAGAATCACAGGGCAACTGGTTAAAAATGCAGATTTTTAGCCCTACCTCTAGAGAAAGTGGAGTTAGTGTCATATGGAATGTATGTCATTATTTAGAAACATACTTGTGTAGACTACTTTTTTATCTGTCTCCTGTATGCTGTCTAGGTTGTATATTCCATTTAAGGAACTGAAAAGAATGTTTCTCATAGGGTACCACTCAAAGAACTTATTTCACACTTTTGCCTCAGGTAGGCCTGTACCTTCTGCTTTATTTAAATTTTTAATTAACCATAGATGATACCTAGCATTATATTGCCATTTGAGAACTTAAATGGGTTGGTTCAACGACTTTAGTAAAACTTCACGCAAAATAGTTTTTCTGATTATAATAATGATACTGTATAAGTTTATTGTGGAAATTTTAGGAAATAATACATTAAAAGTATAAATAAGTAAATTACAACTACCTATAATCCTACCAACCAGACATCAGTCTTTTAAATAATCTCTACAGTTATGTTTGGAGTAAGTATTCAGGATCTTTAAAAATTTTGGAAGTGTTAGACTTTAATGACTAACCTGAATAAAGACTGTAGGATTAGTCCTATTGTCAGTGATTTAGGCATAAATATAATAAGAATCTTTTCTACACTTGTACTGACATTTTTAAACATTATTTTATTAAAATTAATTCACAGGAAATATTAGTGCTTTTAGTAAATGACCCACTAAAATTTTTGCATTGTGCCTAGAACAGGAATACAAAAGGGATTCTCAAATGTGTACTGGTATAATCACCTGTCAAAATCAATCTGCATGCAGATGGTGTTTTCAAAACTTCTGTCTTATTTTTTTTAACATTGTAATTTTATTTTTTTAAATAGAAAACTGATTTTAATAATTATAGGCAATGTCAAGGATATGAAACAAATGTTAGATTGCCCTGTACATCCAGCATAGAGACAGTATATCATATGGTTAAAAGTAAGGGCTCTGGAGTCACACTGCCTAGATTTGTTATCTACCATTTACTTTCTAGCTCTGCGACTTTTGGCACATCATTTAAACTCTCAATACTTCATTTTCCTTATCTATAAAATGAGAATAATAATAGTGCTACCTCATAGGGTTGTTACAAGGATTAAGTAGCTTAATACATGTAAAAGAGTTTAGAACAGTGCCTGGCATATATTAAGCACTCAGCATATGTTAGCTATTATTAGTCCTTTAAAATTTTAATTATTCTAAGCACAAATATCACTTCTAATAACTGTGCTGAATAAGTTAATGATAAAACTCATTACATTGGAAACTTGTTAATTTGGGAAAAGTGAAATAAGAGGTGATAAAACTATCTTCTCTCACAGTATGGTCTGGTAGGTAGTCTGCTATAGAAAGGGGTAATTGACACAAATTAAACAAAGAAGCTCTTGTTTATATTTAAAAAGCCTAGTTAATTATGTGTTCATTAAATACTTACTTAACATTTAAAGCAAAAAGTATGAAACATTTTCTACCTTTGACAACTAAAGGGAAAAATGGATCCAAATATCAGATGCAATGATATAATTAGTATTTTGAGTTGAGATTGTACAGTGAGACTTTTAAGAAAACAAATATAGCAGAAACTGTTTCATTCAGTAGTATTTTTCTTATAAAATTGTTGTGATGCCGTTTTATGCAATGTATGTGAAAGAGTTTGCTAAATTATGAAAAGTTATGTAAAAATATCATTATTGTCTAGCACATAGTGCCAGTACCCATAGGTAATTGATGATGAGGTTTGTGAGAGCTCAATGGTGGGCTGGTGAGAGGGGAATAAACTGAAACCAGTAGAACTAACCTGGAAGAAGGGTATTCAGAATTCCCAAATGTAGTGTTTGAGATAGCAATCAGAATTGCTATTCATGCATCCTCATCTGCTAGGCAGGAACATGACCAGGGGGAGTTATGGGATGTGAGCAGTGTTTCACATCAGGAGGGTTGAATAGTCGAGGTGACAGGGAGGCCCAGTTAGGGTGAAGTAGGACCCTGACCCATAGGTTGGGGTATAGGAGGCAGGGTTCAGTTCTTGAGGATTGTGGGGGAGTTTGCAGCTAGATGAAGGTTTAGAATAGGGTAGGGCTTAAAGTCACAGCTGGAAAAGAGAAAACGAACCAGGCACTGCATCACAGGCTTTCTCATGTCACCTGGGCAGCCACAGTACAGGTTATAAAGAAAGCCTGTGCTTCAGTGGGCACACTATATACTGGATTTAGGGAAAGCAGATTAATTCTAAATCCCCATGCTGGGAAGGAATTCCAGTCTGGTTCTCATTTGGTGAGAGGCAGGGCAGCATGGGCTTATACCTTTAGGCTAAATGTCTTCAATAACTGGAGCTGGCATGTAGTCAGCAGTCAATGAATACTGAATGAAGAATGATTAAATTCATACAAATGTTATATTAAAAAGTAGTCACCTTGGAAGGTTGTATACATTGATGTAAATTATGCTATCAATGCTCAAAATATTTTGGAATTGCCTTCATATGTATCACCAAGAAAATAGTTATCATTATGGTTTCACTCAGTCTGACTACAAATCAGATTTGTCTCCAAGTAATTTCTAGATGTATCTCGGTATCACATCTACTTTCAAAATATGAAGATTTGCTACTATGAAGATATTCAAAAGAATGTGCTACAGGCCTCAAGGCAATTCTAAAAGAGTAGTTTCCAAAGTAATTTGAGCAATGACAAGAGCATTAGAATAAGTGTAGCCTTCAGAAGTGACTGCTTTGAAGGGGATGTCACTCCTTGGGACATATATGTTTGAGTGTATTTGTTAAACAAATGATTCACAATAATTTATAATAACACTCTACATATCTGACACATATTATGAATTGGACTTCTTAAATTCCAAGTTATACTGGCATAAAATAGCATAGATTCATAGTAAGCTAAATTGGAGTAAAAATATAATTGGCACTTTAGCAAAAATAATTGTATTAAATCAACTGCAATAATAATCTGCAAACACAAAATAATAAATCATGACAAGTTTGTTGATATTGCATTTTGAGAAACAAAAAAAATCACCCATACTTTGTGAGAACTAATTAAATACTTCAAAGCATCAAAAGAGAAAAATAATGCCTGGCTGGTGTGGCTCAGTGGTTGAGCATTGGCCTATGATCCAGGAGATCGCAGTTCGATTCCCAGTCAGGGCACATGCCAGGGTTGCTGACTCAATCCCCAGTAGGGAACGGGCAGGAAGCAGCCAATCAATGACTCTCTCATCACTGATGTTTCTGTCTCTCTTCCTCTCCCTTCGACTCTCTGAAATCAATAAAGATATATTTTAAAAGAGAGAGAGAAAAAAATAATAGTGAATTTTTCAAAAAATATTCTAAATTAAATGAAAATGAAGGTTCTACTAGGTTTTTTAGAAATTATGAATAATTTACTAAAATTTATTAAAATATATGAATTTTTACATACAAATTATGAATAATTTACTAACAAATTATGAATAATTTACTAAACTTTATTAAAAATATATTAAAGTTCATTTGACATAAACAGATAACATTGGAAAAACTACAGACGGATGCCTTTTTATCAACTATGCAGTGTTATTTGTTTGTAGGGCTTTCTGTTATTTGTAAATTTGATATACATTAAGTTCATCTTGAGCCTGGCAATCAAGGTACTTCAGGATATAACCCTAACCTAATTTTCTGCCCTTCCCTCCTATAATTCTCTTATATGTAATCTGCATTCTGTTAAAACCTGAAATTCTTATTAAATATGTTCTATAACCTTCCGCCCTTATACCTTGAAATATATTCTTCCTTTTGCCTAGACTATTCAGGTACTAAAGTGTAGGGCTAAAAGTATATTCTAGAGGCACAATGCTTACATTTGAATCTGGCATTGCCACTTAAATAGTCTAAGAATAAATTTAAATTAAGAAAAATTTAAGTAGGAGTTTCATTAAAAACAAAATATATTGCTAAATCTTTTATTTGAGATTTAGTTATTTAGAAAATAAATTTTCTAGGCCCTTTATTTTTATTTCTCTCACTCTCCTTTGCTAGGTCAATTTCATGGCAGCATATTCCAGATAGAGCCTTTGATTTTCCTACATCAACCTGAGCCCTTATGGCCTTCATAGATAGAGGTGTGATTGGAGGATCTCTCTTGGTCACGATGAGCTAAAGAGAAAGGCACTTCAAAACCAGCTCATTACCAAAACACAGGGAATAAACAAGCTCAACCAGGATAGCTCCAGACCCATGTCAATGAAGCAATGTCAATAACCTGTTTGTGAGGGCTGGAGTCTTGCTTTCTTTTTCATTTGCCTCCATTCACTTTGTCAATAGGGATGGCTCTTTGACTTGAACTAATTAGAGAGAAGTCTAGGTTAAATTCGTGAAAACTGTGATTTTTTTCCAGACTATTCAGAAAGTAATGATATTTTATTAATTTAACTATATATAGTAAATATAATCAGAATAATAATCACCAAATAGTATCCTTTGGGAACTTGTGTAATAGGTAAGCCCATACTTCTTCATAAAATACTATTTACAGCTGAATGATTTCAAAGTATTCAAAATCCATTTACTCTCTTAAATAAATTCAGCATTTCTTTTGCAACTTTATTTACATAATGCCTTATTTAGTAAAAATCTGAAAAGACAAAAGTAAACATCATCTCTGCCTGTGTCTGAATTAAATTATAATATATGGTCTAATTGTTTCCCATTTTTAAACATTTTTTTACAACTATACACATGAATGATTACATGCCCATTAAAAATAATTCATTTTGACTTTACTTTTACAAAACCAAGAACGATTTCTTTTTTTAGTTCTCTAACTCACTGCGATCCAATGTAGCAAGTCATGAAGAACTATGGGAACTTAACAGAGTTTTGTTACAAATTTAAAATATATTTAATGGAAGATGATTTTTGAAAGTACCTAGAATTTTTTCATAAACCTAAACGTCAAGAAATGAGCCTCTTTTTAATATTTCCTCTATTTATTCTTTATTTTAGCCAAACGTAACACACTTGTCAATAACTTTTTCCTGTTTCTCTGTCACATTCTCATACACCACTTCTCTAAAAAGGAATCAAGACAGAAAATTTTCCTTCAGTACTTTGAAAATTTTCCCTCAAGTCAAGAGGCTTGTTTTCTTTATTTGTTTAAGAAATAATCTCTGTCTTGAATCCTTTTCACAACAGAAAACTCAGGAGAAATGACCCCTACCTCTCTGGTCAAATTTGGTTCTCTCCCCTCACTCAAAGATTATTTTTTGATAAGGTTTCTCACCTGATGACAGCGACGTACTTTCCCAATTAGCCCTTGATGAGTAGCAGGTTTGGTAGGTACAAGTTGTCTTTATAAGCTACGCTCCAGTCCACTAAGTGTGTACCGACTGCTTCTCGCTCTTCAAAGGATCTATCTGATCAAGGTCCGTTGGAACCCTCAGGCCACGATGTTCACGTTCTAGCACACAGGACATTGTCCAAGAAGCAAGTGTTAACAGGCCAAATTTTTCAGTCTGAACAGCGTTATACCCTGTAAAAAATATATCCCAACCAAGGAGTACTGGTCCGGGATAAATCATGCCTATACGTGTAAAACAAGGAGCACTCAAATCTACCCATTAGGAGAGGTAGTTTTCACTCTCAAATTTGTGTTACAACCATAAGTATGTCAGAGTGGAGTGAAAGATGTTGGGCAGCCTGCACTTGTTCATTTTGGCTTTCTGACATTTTATCAGCATTCATCCTCTGTATGATAAAATTGCCCGCTCTCTAACTCACATCCTGATAGAGTGAATTTTCTTAAAGCTTGTTGCTTAGAGTGTCTTGGGCAGGTGAACTTAGGGTCTGTTCTGTCTGCGACTTGTGGCTTTTTTTTCCCCTCAGCGTTGTAAATATCTAGAGTCCTCCCTACTTTCTCTGACAGCCACGGGATCTGAGGACCCCTGATTTCCCCCACTTAACTAAGGTATGAGTTCCTCACCTGGGTCAGTTTTCAGGTCGCTGGCTAGGCTCCCAAAATAGCCCAGAGCTCTGTGTA